AGATTGGATTGGTGGTTACCAGAGGGGAAGGGGGGAGGGAGGAGGGTGAAAGGGATAATTCGGTACATGTGTGTGGTGATCGGTTGTAATTAGTACTTTGGTGGTGAACGTGATGTAATCTATGCAGAAATAGAAGTACAATGATGTACACCTGAAATTTTTGCAATGTTATAACCAATGTTACTGCAATAAACAAAAAATTAAAAAAAAAAAGTAGTAAGCAATATTTATAAAACAACTCAATGCATATATGGTGACTTATTTCAAACTATATAAATATTGAAACAGAGGCCCTCTCACATTTGGGGTATTCTATGATAAAATGAATATAATCTGAAAATAAGCCTAACATATTCACCCTCCTCCTCATCAGATCCTTGAAAGCCAGCTTAAGCATCCACACCTGCAAACTGCCAAGTACCATCCTACAGCCAAGGTGAGGTTGACGATTGTATCAACTGGAATTAAATCTGCCACAGCCATCGGAGTAGTTCTTATGGCCCGAAGAAATCCTTTCCCAGACTACACAGGAAAAAGAACATAAAATATTAAACCAGATCTTAAGTAACAGCTGGGTCTAAAGTATATATCAGACAGATAATACTAATGCTGTTGTAACAATAGCTAATGTTAATTCACTTCTTAGTAGGTTATCGTGCTGAGGCTGACTTCTCTCCGCCTAGCCAACCTCCCAGCCAAGTTCATCTCAAGTGCCAGTATTTCCATGAACCACTAGTGGTCCTCAGGTTCCTTTAGGGAGTGAAATTCCTCAAATTTGTGAGAGGTTAATATATTTACTTAATTAACAAACACCAAGAATAGGCTTTCACATCTTAAAAATTAATTCATAAGACATTTTAAGAATTAAGGTTTCCCAAATTTTCCCTTAAAATTAGTTTACATTTTCTTAAATGATGTTGTTTTCTGCTAGTGCTAGCTAACTTACAAGCAACAGTAGACACTAGAAGTTTAAGAAACATTTTATTTTGAAAAATTAACAAAATTCTACAATTTGATAAAAACTTTTTTTATTACTTGGGAAAAGGCCACCGTTATTTACTTTTTGTTCAGTATCTTAGTTTACCTCACAGATCACTGATGTTATATAAGTGCAAGAATTGGGAATTATTCACACAAGTCATGTCAATAATTGTCAGTTATTAAATAAAAAGTCATGTTTATTGACTTTATGAAATAATTGAGTATTTATACCCCGCATGTTTCCATAATTGATTTGCAGTGGTTAGCACTTTCTTACGTTTCTAATTTCTATTTTTTGGTAACTGATTGCCCTTGTTTTGGACATAAGAAACCAGTTTGGAAAATTTTAGTAAATTTGAATAAATGTGCAGCTTTGGAAACAACGTAATAAAACTCACTCTGGGATCATGTTAAAATAATTATGTTCTAAGTTACCAAACATTAACCCCAACTAAGCCTTAAAGAAGAAAGAGTTGGAGGCAGGTAGGGAACAGAAAGAGAGCGGCTGCTAGAAAAAAAAGGAATCAGAAAGAAGCTCATTGTCACTGTCTTTGACACGTCGTCATACTTCATTATCTTATATTTGTATTTTAGTTCACGGTGGACCTAG